GTCCTCCTCCTCGTCGTCGGAGTTGAACACGTCAAGCCACAGGGACTCACCCCAACGCCACACCACTCGTGCCTTCGTGTCGGGGCCGTCCTCCGCTCCTTCGTGCCCGCCAGCTCGTCGTTCCGGTTCGGCTCGAGGAAGAAGGCCACGCTTCCATCGGCGCAGAAGCTTAGTCGTGTTCTCATCGCCAAAGCCATCGACACCACCACCGGCTCTTTTGCCCTCTCGGGTGCTCAAGTAGCCCGCCATGAGAACCAATGCCATAGCAGTGTGGCTGCCCGTGGCCTTGTTGCCCTCCTCAAGGATGCGGTCCACACCGTAGCCCTGGTCGATCAAGCCCTGGAACTGGTCGGCGTCGCGTCCTTGGCATTTCCAAACCTCCTCCACGGTCAGCAGACCTCAACTTCGTCGCCGGTCCTCGTTGGTCCCACACGATCCTGTCCTGGACACCCACAGTCTCGGCTTCCTTTAAAGGCCACAGAATGGGCCCGCTCGTCCCGACCAAGTTGTGGCGGACTCCTCCGCGCCAATATACCCTTCAAAATCGGCAGCAAGGGGTCTCTTGGAATCCCATTGTCCAACACAAGCTTCTCGGGCTCGATCCAATGGTCCTCCGGCACCAGTCGCGTTGGTCCAAGGCACGCTCTGCAAGGAGGAGCCAACATCCCGCGGCACGACGTCGCAACCAAAGCTTGGTTCACACTGAACTCCGGGCTCGCCACCAAACATCGCCTGCGCCGTGCCGCTGCCTCGCCAAACTCCGTGGTCACAAACTCGTCCATCGAAACCTCCCAACCAGCGCCCTCGAACTCCGACTCGATCGCCTCCCAGGGTACCGTCCGTGGTCCTTCGAAAACGGCCAAACTCGCCTTGCCATCCAGAGTGGCCAGAGTGGCCGCCCGTGCCACCTTTCCGCGCGCATCCAGCGGGAACGCTGCCATCACGATCTCCCTTTCGTGGACCGGCCCTGCCCAAACTGCTCTCCGAACATCACAGCCAAGGTTGCCCGCCGCGTCCAAGAGGTCCGTCACCAACCGCTCCTTTCCGGCGAGCTCGACAATGTGGAGATCCTGCCACTGGGGGCGAAGTGCCCTCGGAACCGATCGTCTCAGCCTCCTCTCCTTCAACTGCATCAGCTCAACCCGATCTGCCTCCGACCACGCCAGCAAGCAAGGGCCAAACCTCTTGGAGTCGATCACCGCCTGCCTGAGTACGTCAGTCACGTCCACGACCGTCCACTCTTTGTCCTTCACGAGCTTGGCGTACTCCTCGTCGCTGCAGCGGGTTATGTAATCGGCATGGGTGTTATGATACGTGCGCCACCATGACGCAATGATCACACAGCGGAACCTCATTTCCACCAAGTTGAGCATGCGCACCATTAAGCGCCCGACGACCGTGCCACTCTTCCGGCCAGTGACCCACTCTCGAACCACCTGATTGTCGCCCCCGTACAACACGACCTTGCCCTCCCAAGTCTCCCCCACCTTGCAGGCGAATGCCAGGAAGGACAGCATCTCCGCCACGTGAATCGCAACCTCCTCGTCGTGGGCGCACTTGTCGGCCCACGCCGCGGCCGCCCCAGCCTCCATCCGCATCACGATTCCATTCGTCCAATCGATGGCCCCGATCTTGAGCTTTGTAGCGTCCGAGGATACAAAGACCACACCTTGATGCCATTCATCCGGAAGCGCAAGGCGTTCCCGCACTGGCAAGAGCTCCCGCATCCCTGCGCCAAACTTTGAAGACCATGTCTCAGGTCG